TTTAGCTTTTTTCTTATTTTATTTCTAACAGTAAAGCCAGCTAGAATTTTTTTTTTTTTTTTTTTTTTTTTTTTTTTTTTTTTCTAACAGTAAAGGCAGCTAGCATTTTTTTTTTAGTTTTTGATATAGGATAGGCCCCATTTTTTCCTAAAACAGTCCATTCTCCCATTATGGTTTAATGAATGTTTCTTATTCCTCACTAATGGAAATAAGAAGTACAGTTAATGAAGTGTGTCCAGCTGGGGACTGGACTGTCCAGTCTCTTGAGACTCTGTCCTCACTGCAGCCTCTGGGGTGAGCTCTGCATTTCTCTCCACCCTCGTCCCAGAGGCCAGCAGGTTGGGGGTGAGTGCAGGACCTGTCCCCAGGGATGAGGGTGGGGCAGGGTCTTGGACTAGATGCACTTGGCTCATCAGGAAGCTGTTAAATCCTTGCTCCCCTGACACGGGCCACATCTCAGTGAACTGTCCCCTTGCAAAGGGAGTGTGGATGTGGAAACTGGTATTAAGACAGACTCTTTGGAGACACTTTTCAGAGAAGTTGATGGCATGAGAGGGGATGTGAACTGACCGAGTCCTGAGACGGTTTAGGGAGGTTGGTCCTGCTAGGCCCTCAGTTAACTATCGATTGTGAATGGATATAAATGTTTAATTTCAAACTATGATTCTTTGCACCATTTTCAGAATACGACTTGTTATTATTCTTCATTAACAGTCAGAAATCCACATGTAGATGGAGGCTGGGTGAACTCTTCAGGGCTCTTTCTCTGACCTTGACCTGTTCCCAGTGAGTGTTTAGTTTGATGAATTTTGGTAATTTTATACAATAACCACAGCCTCAAGCAAGAAATAGAACATCCCAAAGGTATAGTCAAATTTACTGGTATGTCCTTACAGCAAAACAAACTGCCTAACAAATTTATCTCCTGTAGTTTACTCTTGATGTTTTTCTTTTTGGTCTTTATAGTTCTGCATCTGATCAGCCTGAGACTAGTGTCCTTTTAGAGGTGTCAGGTGGATAATTTGCCATCCAGAGTCTTCCATGGGTTCCCCAGTGTGTTGATTCCCTACCGTTTGTTGACCTGAAACAAATAGACTGTCAGATATTTCTTCAGCAAAGATGGGCTTATCCAGAATCAACAGAGAATGGCAGTTTGAGGTCTGCATTTGTGGAGAGCCAAGTGTAAGTCCCCAAAGTGCCAGGGCTGGAGAGCACTTTTATAGAGGGGAAGAGGAGGTTGAGAGGGCTCTTACAGAGTCCATGGCTTTTCAGTGGCTGAGTTCTTGCCAGGAAAGGAGATGAGTCTTTCTTCTTCCTGTTGGGTGCTGCTGTTGTTGTATCGTCATCTATCAAAGTCATCAGAGGCTTTCTACTGGGGACCACATGGGATTGCTTTAGCACTCTGTGGTGGTGATGACTGCTCTTTGGTTGGAAGGACGTGTCCTGTGCAGAGCATCACCGATCCTCTCAGCATCCCAGGGAGGTGTTCTCTCCAGGTCTTTGCCCCACTTTCCTGAGGCCAATACTGAGAGGTTATGTGTCTGGTTCACGGTCATATAACCAGGAAGTGGCAAAGTCTAGACCCTAACACAGGAACACTTCCAAATGAGGCACATCAGGTGCCATTTTTGTTTCACATTAAATTTTTTAAAACTGTGGAAAATGAACACAACATAAAATTTACCATGTTGACGATTTTTTAAGCACACAGTTCATTATTGTTAACTATCTTCACATTACCATGCAACCAATTTCCAGAACCCTTTTCATCCTGTACTGGTGTGCTACGAAACACTAACTCCCCACTTCCCTTGCCCCCAGCCCTTGGCAACCACAAGGCCACTTTGTTTCTGTTTGAATTTGACTTCTCTGAGGACTTCAGGTAAATCAAATCATAAAATATTTGTCCTTTGTGATACACCATTTTACAACCCCACCATCAGTGTGCAGGGTTCCATCCACATCCTTGCCCACACTATTGTTTCTTCCTTTTTTTTCCCACGTGTGAGCTGGCATCTCGTTGTGGTGCATAACTAACACAACAGGGTTGAGCAAATATCTTCCAATAAAAATTAATTAAAAAAAACCATGAGCTATAATTTTAATGAAAAAAAAAACTGTGCATGTGCAGATATGCAAAGATTTCTAGGGTAAAGGCTAAGAAATAACCAAAATATCAGCAAGTAGACCTGGCTAATAAAAACAAATCCTTATTCCTTTCTTCTTGTACGTGCTCAGTCATGTCCAACTCTTTGTGACCCTATGGACTGTAGCCCACCAGGCTCCTCTGTCCATGGGATTCTCCAGGCAACAATAATGGTGTGGGTTGCTATTTCCTACACCGGGATCTTTCTAACACAAGAATCAAATCTGCGTCTCTTGTGTCTCCTGCACTGGCAGGTGGATTCTTTAGCTTTGTGCCACCTCTCTGGGAGGCCCTTCTTCTTCTATAGTTTTAAGTTTTTTACAGAAATACAAATATATATATGTTTTTCTAAAATTCACAATTACCAACAGTCAAAATGTATGCTTTCTCTTAGACTCTCAGTCCTAGCTGTGCTGTGAAAACATTAAATCCCCAGTGCAGTCATTTGTATAAAGTCAGTAAGCTAGTTATTGGCATCATTCACAAGTTGAGAAAGCAGATGCAATGAGAGAAGAAAAGCAAACACCCAGTGAGAAGATGAAAATTCAGTTTCTCTACAAGGTTGGGGAGGGGGGGGCTTGTCTCTGGGCAGCACTTCCTGCCTGAGCTCATTTCAACTTTCCCAGGACAGCGAGTGGGGGACACAAGGAAATCATGAGGGAACCTCAGACTTTACAAACAAGATGGCAATTGTGGTCACCAACCAGCTTCCCAAAGTCTGGACCCCTTTTAAAAGTTAGCACTCAAGGAACAATGCCAGTGGGAGGAGCGGCTTAAAGCAGAAGCCAGCCTCCACCTTCCATCAGAATCACCTGGAGCTTGCTTAACCCCACCCCCACCGTTTCTAAATTTACAGAATTGGTCTAAAAGGACTGGAGGGGGTGGGATTTGCATTTCTAACAAGCTCCCAGGTGACAAGGATGCCACAGGTCTGAGAGCCATACTCTGAGAACAGCTGCCCTAAAGCTTGATTATAGAGATGTTTCATGAGCATCATCTCAAACAGCAAGAATTTTAAGAACTTCCCTTGAGAAACTCCTGCCTACAAGACCAAAGGTGTGTTTGCATTTGCCTTCTCCCCGCATTTAAGAACAAGAATCAGATGTATAGAACAGACTTGTGGACTCTGGGAGAAGGCGAGGGTGGGATGTTTCAAGAGAACAGCATTGAAACATGTATATTATCTAGGGTGAAATAGATCACCAGCCCAGGTTGGGTGCATGAGACAGGTGCTCGGGCCTGGTGCACTGCGAAGACCCAGAGGGATCGGGTGGAGAGGGAGGTGGGAGGGGGGACTGGGATGGGGAATACATGTAAATCCATGGCTAATTCATTTCAATGTATGACAAAAACTACTGTAATGNAAAAAAAAAAAAAAAAAAAAAAAAAAAAAAAAAAAAAAAAAAAAAAAAAAAAAAAAGAACAAGAATCCAAAGAGAAGCAGCTCAGAATAGCAGTTACATACAGAACACAGACTCGGGAGTCAGAATCCTGATTTGGGATCCAACTTTCACTATTAAGCTGTGTGATGCAGGCAAGTTACTCAAACTCTTAGAATTTGGGGGAGAATGGATACATGGATAGGTATGACAGAGTCCCTTTCCTGTCCACATGAGACTATCACAACATTGTAACTTGGCTATACTCCAATATAAAATAAAGTTTAAAAAAAATTACTCAAACTCTCTGCTTAAGTGAGTTCATATGTAAAATTAGAGGTAATAGCTCCCTCCAATTCAGCAGGAAAATTGGAAATGGGGTCTACCCAAATTAATGAGAAGTCCTCATCTTCCCTTTTCCATACACACACATTTTAAAAATCCACAAATAGAACATCCCTGGAGAGTTCCTTGCCCTGTCTGAAGTTAAGGAGAGGTGTCTCTACTTTGTTATCATTTACAGTTGTTGCTATTTAGTCACTCAGTCATGTCCAGCTCTGCTCTGTCCATGAGATTTCCCAGGCCAGAATACTGAAGTGGATTGCCATCTCCTCCTCCAGGGGATCTTCCCCACCCAGAGATCAAACTCACGTCTCCTGGGCTCCTGCTACGGCAGGCGAATTATTTACCACTGAGGCAACAGGGAAGCCCACACCCATATTTTTCTTCTTGACCCTCTTTCCTTAAGGGCTGTCAAATGGCCTAGAGATGTAGCCACACACACTGAACACACCACCATCAAAACATGCACAGGAGCTTCTGTTTCCTGGGGATTACCAAGGCCCTCCCACATAAAAACAAAGGAAATATCAGAATTTGTGGGAAAGATGAATGGTTTAGGGTCCAGGAACGAACGATATAATAATCACTTATTATATTAAGTGATTAAACCCAAAGGTTCCACCCCACCTAGTTAGTGGTCCCAGCTACCAGATGGAAGACTTCAGTTAAGAGCTTCATCTCTCTGAGCCGCTCTTCAACTGTGTTACCTCCCAGCTCAGGGACCCTTCAGTGGTATCAGGACCAGAGGACCCCTGGGCAAGACCACCTGTATCAAGACCCTGCACTGCTTCTGGAAAGGCTAGAGATGGAGATAAGACTCCACAGGCTTCAGGGACCCCATTCCCAGGGTAACTTTCAAAGGTGGAAGCAGAGACATTCACAGTTAGGAAAGGGGCTGGTCAAATACATCCTCCAGTCCTCTCAATGTATCCCATATAAAAGCAAAATGGGTTCAAGAATCATGTCCCCGTTCATTAAATAAAAAACAATAGTGTTCTTACACACATGAAAAGCGTCACAACTAGATACCAGGATGTACAGTGAGAGATGCGCACGGAGAGAAAGAGGGAGGGAGACATGGTCACAGACACAGGGACCAAGGGAGCCCAGTGCAGCTGGAACTCAGCTGTTACCTAAGGAATGTGGGGAAAGGTGGGGACATTATTGGCCGATGGCAACAGGAGGAGGGCACTAATCAGATAAAGGAAGCTGTTCAGGGCTATTTGCTTAGTGGGGAAAGTGCGAATTAGCTCAGAACTAGGAATCCGGAGCTGGCCTGGGAAAGCCGGCTAAGGATGGAGGTCCAGGGTCCGGTCCTTCTCCCGCTGGCGGTGACCCGCTCTGGGCAGCCTGGGTTCTCAGCCTCCCTGCCTCCTGCTCCCGGGACTAAGGAGGCTGACGGGGCAGCGAGCTGCAAGGCAGGGAGACCCTGTGCCCCTCCACCAGGTCCCTCTTCCCGTTTCTGCTACCCCTTCCCGCCGCCCCACCCAGAGGGCGCAGACAGGGACTCCCGTGGCCGGCGTGTGGAGACCCCACCCGCTACAAGTAGCCATCGCAAAGCGCTCCCTCGCCCTGACCCTCCACCTTCTGCCCCTGCAAGGCGCAGCATCATCAGGCACTGGCCCTGAGGCGGCGGGGTGTCTCAGCCCAGGCGGGCGCTCACCAAGAGAACAGCCGCGAGCAGACGTTCGCGTCCTGCAGCGGGTTGGGCTTCTCCTCCGGGGACACCCTCCGCATCTTGCAGGCCTGTGGGGTGGGGGCAGCCGGGGCCACACGCAGGTGTGAGGCGAGGCCGCAGGCGCCGCTGATGGAGTGGGGGGAAACCGCACGACTTGGGGCACCAGGATCCAGGCGCCCTGGATCCTGCCCTGGCTGCAAACTCTTCCAGAGGGCACGGCTCTGAGCCCGGGCCCCCACCCAGAAGGTGGAGAGGGAGGGGCGGGCTGCAGCAGAAACGCCCCTCAGCTGTGGTGAAGACCTGGAAAAAGCTGGCAGAAGGAGATAGCAGCCCGCCCTCCGGGCACGCTGCCCTCATCAGGACCAAGCAAGGGCGCTGTGGGAAGGTCTCCAACTGGAATGGAGCAGGACCCTGGGGGGCCTTCCTGGGATAGACCCCACCCCACCATGAGATACCCTGAGCTAGTGGCCAGTACTGGTCAGTGGAGGTGAGAACTGATGACGGGCACAAAGCTGCCAGGCTACTGAGATGACAGCCCCAGGCTCCCCAGTGTCTGTCCTACTGCTAGGCTGGCCCTGAGGATTCCTGTTTTGATAAGAGGAGGGAAAAGAAAAGACCACAGCTCACTCTTCTCCTGGCACGAAGGACAGTTACTCAGCAGTGACCTGAGCACAGAGAGAAGCACATAAGCAAGAAGTCAACGTAAGCTTTGTTTATCCCTCGAATAAATAAATTTTAAATCAGCTAATAAACAGGTATCAGTACAAGAGGGAAATGAATAGCTTCAGACATTTTTCCCATACATGAAGCCCATATGAATATATATGAATAAAATAAATGCATTCAAAGAAATATTTCTGGAATGAATACATGAAGTGTGGTATAGACATACAATGAAATTTCACTTAGCCTTAAAAAGGAAGGAAATTCTGACACATGCCACAGCATGGATGAACCTTGAAGACTGTGATGTTGTGACTTATAATTAAAATATGTATTTAATCTTCATGATGCTGCTGGCACAGAACTCCTAAAACCCTTAGGTGCTCTAAGGTAAGAGTGAAAAAGTATCTTTTGATAATTATAACAGGCCCCTTTCAACTACACCTGAGTTTTAGTGAATTCATCTGTTTGTCAGAAAAACCAAACACCTGATTAAAGGGTTGACATTTTCAGCCGCACCCTCCCATGTAGGGAGAAGAGGGACTGGAAACAGTTGAACTACCAATAGCCAATGCATTAACCAGCCTTGCCTAAAGTATGCTTCTATGAATCCTCAGTAAAAAACCAATAGAATGGGGTTCACAGAGCTTCCAGGCTAGTGACCCTGTGCAGGTGCTGGGAGGGTGACTCACCTGGAGAGGCCTGGAAGCCCCTGCCCCTCCCCCTACCTTGCTCTCTGCATCTCTTCCATCTGGGTGTTCCGGAGTTGAATCCTTTTATAATAAACTAGTGAGCTAGTTGGGTAAACTGTTTTCCTGAGCTGTAAGCCACTCTAGAAAATTACCAAACCCAAAGAGGGGGTTATGGGAGCCCTGATTTATGATCAGTCCATAAGAAGAGCAGGTAACCACCTGGACTCACCACTGGCTTCTGAAGTTGAGAAGAAGGAGTAGTTTGGTGGGACTGGGTCATTGACCTATAACAAGGTCTAACAAAAACTCCAGGCAGACAGTGTCAGAATTGACTTAATTGTGGGACACAGTTGTGTCTGTATAGTCAGAACTAGTTCAGTTCAGTTCATTCGCTCGGTCGTGTCTGACTCTGCGACTCCATGGGCTGCAGCATGCCAGGCCTTCCTGTCCATCACCAACTCCCGGAGTTTACTCAAACTCATGTCCACTGAGTCGGTGATGCCATCCAACCATCTCATCTTCTGTTGTTCCCTTCTCCCACCTTCAATCTTTCCCACCATCAGCGTCTTTTCAAATGAGTCAGTTCTTTGCATCAGGTGGCCCAAGTATTGGAGTTTCAGCTTCAGCATCAGTCCTTGCAATAAATATTCAGGACTGATTTCCTTTAGGATGGCCTGGTTGGATCTCCTTGCAGTCCAAGTGACTCTCAAGAGTCTTCTCCAACACCACAGTTCAAAAGCTTAAATTCTTTAGCACTCAGTTTTCTTTATAATCCAACTCTCACATCCATACATGACTACTGGAAAAACACTAGCTTTGACTAGATGGACCTTTGTTGGCAAATTAACATCTCTTTTTTATAATATAATAAGCTGTCTAGGTTGGTCATAACTTTCCTTCCAAGGAGTAAGTGTCTTTTAATTTCATGGCTGCAATCACCATCTGCAGTGATTTTGGAGCCCTTAGAAATAAAGTCTGTCACTGTTTCCACTGTTTCCCCACCTATTTGCCATGAAGTGATGGGACCAGATGCCATGATCTTAGTTTTCTGAATGTTGAGATTTAAGCCAACTTTTTCACTCTCCTCTTTCACTTTCATCAAGAGGCTCTTTAGCTCCTCTTCACTTTCTGCCATAAGGGTGGTGTCATCTGCATATCTGAGGTTATTGATATTTCTCCCGGCAATCTGGACACACTGAAAACCACAATCACAGAAAACTGAAAATTAGCTGTACTTAAAACAATCAAGGTGACACTGGTCAGACCACCAATGACCAATTTCAGGATGACTGGCAGCACTGACTCTGCTCTTTATACATGTAGCCCTCTCCCTCTGTCTATAAAAGCTCTTGCCCACTAATTGTCAATGGTGGGGACAGTCAGCCTTTGGACAGTTGCCCATGCTCCCTGCCCCCCGCCCCCCCCCACCACACACACACTGGCATCCAAAATAAAGTTCCTTTCCACCAACCTGGCCTCTTTATTGGCTTTTGAGCAGCAAGCAGCCAGACCCCCTCTTTGCTACCACTTTTTGGACTTCTATGGTCAGCCTTTGAACTATCACAGCATCGGTCATGGTGAGAAGGGAGTGAATTTTAGTGTTCAAATGCTGAATTAGAGACCATACCATGCTCAACACCATCTTGATTAGCTGGTTCAAGCCAGTTTTTGTGTGATCCTGTTTTTCTCAATATCTGCACCCCTCTTCCTTTCTGTCTCAAAAGCATGGACACAATGTTTCCATAGTGAGGAGGTCATCTTAGCCTGTCATCTTGGAGTCCAGCCCTGGTTCTCTGTGTACCCTAATGCCTAGGTCATTCCCTTTCCCACTTAAGCAATACCAGGTTGTCTTCCTGAAATGAAGGGCACCACAGACTCCCACTTATTTCAGGAGCAACATCAAGCCCCAGCCAGGAGGGAGTTACCTTATGCATTAAACAAAACAAAACAAACAAAACTGATCATATCAATACCATTCCTTTTGGACCTTCAGGCATAGAGCAGAAATTGGTCTCTTTATCTTCATCAAGATTATCTCCACAGGTAACAAAGGAAACGGTCATTAGAGGTAAGCTGGGGCCCTTAATATTCAGAGAGGCTGGGCTGTGACAGAACAGTCACCGTGCAGAATCTCTATGCCCAGCACTGTGATTCAAGATGGCGACCCCGGGGCCGTGTTCAGAGATGCTGAGCCCAGCACTGTGATCTGGAGCCAGGGGCAGCACAGCTGAGCCTGTCCTGTGAGAACCCACCCATCCCCCAGCTGACAGGAATTACACACAGCAGTCTCAGGGGTGCTTTTAGGAGCGTGTGTCCTCTAGAGAACATTCTATTGTGACATGCCACACCTGGCAGAGGGGCTTCCTAGGTGACTCAGCAGTAAAGAACCTGCCTGCCAGTGCAGGAGACTCACATTGATCCCTGGGTCAGGAAGATCCCTTGGAGCTGAAAATGGCAACCCACTCCAGTATTCTTGCCTGGGAAATCCCACTGACAGAGGAGCCCAGAGGGCTGCATTCCATGAGGTTGCAAAGAGTCAGACATGACTGAGTGACTAAGCACACACACGAACCTGGTTAAAGGACTCGCCGGCCCCCGTTTGGGTCTCACTGGGGAGGATCAGTAACAAAATAGGAAGAAATCAAACCATATTTGGTTTTCCTGGTGGCTCAGACAATAAAGAATCTGCCTGCAATGGAGGAGACCCAGGTTTGATCCCTGGGATGGGAAGATCCCCTGGAGAAGGGAATAGGCAACCCACTCCAGTATTCTCAGGTGGAGAATTCCAGGGAATTCTGGTGGCCTATTATATGGAGTTCCAAAGAGTCAGACAAGACTGAGTGACAAACATTTTCTAGCAATGAAAGCAGCTGCCATTTGGGAAGAAATGAGATATTTTGCTTCCAACAGAGGTCCTCTCCTGGCTTCAGGGTGGAATTACCTGTGGGGTTTTAAAAAGCGTTGCCTCCTGCCTCCCCTCTCCCGAGACTCTGATTTAACTGAGATGAGGCTTCAGCACTGAGATTTACAGAACTGCCCTGGTGATTTTACAAACCACAAGCCTTTGCCATGTTTAAGCTATCTGGACGAGGAACAGAGTAAACAAATCAGGTGGTTCTGTAGGAGCAG